GATCTGGAAGTCCATTAGAAGCGAAGAGGATTCGACTGGGCTTCAAAAGGACCTTACATCTATTGTTCATTCCTCTCATATCTTTCTCTATTTCTCGGCGTAGTGTGTTCCTTGGCCTTCCTCTTTTCCTTTTGCCTTGAGGGTTCCATGTGAGGGCTTGTCTTGTGAGGCAGTTAGGTGCTTTGCGCAAAGTGTGTTCTATCCACTTCCACCACTTCTTCCTGATTTCCTCTTCCACTGGAGTCTAACTTGTTCTCTCCCACAGTTCGTTGTTGCTGATGGTGTCTGGCCAACGAATATGAAGTATTTTGCGTACACAACTGTTAATAAACACTTGTATCTTCTGGATGATGCCTTTCGTAGTTCGACAAGTTTCCGCTCCATACAGTAGAACTGTTTTGACATTTGTATTGAAAATCCTGATTTTGGTTTTGGTTGAAAGTTGTTTGGAGTTCCAGATATTTTTCAACTGTAGAAATGCAGCCCATGCTTTGCTGATCCGCGCCGTCACATCTGCATCGCATCCACCTTGACTGTCGATGATGCTGCCCAGATATGTAAAGGTGTTAACGTCTTCCAAGGCATCGCCATCAACAGTGATTTGGTTGGTGCATGTTGTGTTGCATCGGAGAATTTCGCTTTTTCCCTTATGTATGTTGAGACCTACTGCTTCTGAGGCTGCTGCTACACTGGTCGTCTTCTCTTGCATTTGTTGTTGCGTGTGCGATAGAAGAGCCAGGTCATCTGCGAAGTCCAGATCGTCCTAACTGTCCACCTGACACTGTGCCTCCCTCCAGACGTCGACGTCTTCATAATCCAGGAGAAAGAGGAAGGGTGAGAGTAAGCAACCTTGCTTCACACCGGTCTTCACCTCGAAGGGTCTGTCGGCTGTCCTCCGTGCACGATTTTGAAGTTGAATCCATCCATGTACCTAAAAATATGGTTGCTCTGGTTGTCAGAAGAGGCATCGGCCCCGTGACTTCCGAGGGAACTCGGCTTACATCGCGGGACGTCATAATTCTTCTTCCAACTCCCAGGGCAGAGATAAAATGGTTTGAATTATTTTTTATGGTTAGCGTTTTCTTGGCACGTCAGTTTTTGACGGAATGGGGTCGCCAACCCCTTGTCCAACCCTCCTCCTTTACCCGGGCTTGGGACCGGCAGTAGCCCCGAAGGTTCTACTGGTGGACTTAGGTAAAAATTTAGGAATATAAATAACTTATAACAGTGAACAGACCACAAACATTTCTTTAATAATGCAAGATCACTCCGACCTCACTAATGAAGATGTCAGCCGGTATCCAGATTTGTGGAACGATTCAGCTCATAATGCATTTCAAAACGAGAATGCCAAATCAAAAGGGGAAATTCGGACAATTACAAAAACAATATTTCCAATTACCGCAATAGGTTCCGTCGCTGAAAGAATAAGTGCTTCCAGTCCGTTACTGCTAGAGTATCAAATCCAAATATGGCTGAAGCCATATTAAATGTCAATTTTAAACAACACATATATAATTCAGAAGAAAACATGGAAACTTCAATATAAGTACAAGATATAGAAATAATAACAATATACAAATGATAAAATCTCAAAGGGGATCAAATACAGTACCAAAATATCAACAGAAAGAGTTAGTCATATCATAACACAAATGGGGCAGAACATTTTGTTTGCTCTCGGCTCTTTAGATTGATGAGACGACTAATCAGTAACACTGAGGTTGCTCTTATACGCTTGCTACTTCTGTGGTTCATGTTTCCAAAACTATGCTGAGGTCGCTATTCTGTCGAGACACCTGCAACATTCTTACTCAGGCGCTTACAGTATGACTTAGAGGTTGGCATTCAATAATAAAGAAAAAAAAACAGTTAGACAGTGCGAGATTTTATTCGTCAAATATTTATTTTTACAAACTCTACTCTTTTAACTAGAATTTCGATTTCAACATACATAAATCCAGCTTCTTACTTCGACTTCTCTTCTATCCACCTGACACTGCACAACTCTCCCTTCTTTTTGCTGTACTCCTTTATCTGTGCGTTATATTCTTATATTCCCATAATTTACTTTAATTTAAGTGGTCAGTATGAATGTTATCTTGACTTACTACTGTATTGACTACTTCAACATGACAGGTTAAGTAGTGCTTTGGTTATATATATACACTTGCCACACTGCTGCCTTTTCCTCTCTCTCTTCTCCTTTTCAGAACCCCATTCACGGTGGGAAATCCTTGGCAACTCTAGGGAACATGCACCCAATGTACATGACTGTCTGGATCACAGCTCGTATCAAGCGCGTTCCATATGACCTTTCCCAACAAATTCACTATTGATCTCGGCCAATCGCCAATAGAACCTATTGTGCACCTTCCTCATTTGTACTCTAATATTGAAAATGTGGCTGTATAATACTGTTTCTGTCAGTGATATGGTGTAAATATGCAATCAGAAACTGTCTCTTATACTTAATTTAACTGCAATAACTTTTACAGTAATTGTAAAAGCATTTGTGACAATTTGATCTAGCCTGTAAACTGGCGTGACTCTTGTAACTTAGTTATTTGAGAATAAATTATTATTATTATTATTATTATATATACATCGAGGGATTTTCCAAAAACAAAACCTTCAAAATAGATTCTACACTGTGTACATACGCTCGGCAGTAGGTAACTAGAACAGTAACGTTTCTAATGTCTGGATACCGTGGTTTGAACATAATAATCAATTGACAGTAATCCGTCTACTTAATCTAGAAAATCTTTCCTATACTCAAGTTCAGTGGTTTTAGTATAAGCTTATTCAGTACTCAACAAGTTATATATATATTTACTTGAGATAAACAAAAACACTGTTTCCATTATGTTAACAATTTATGACCAATAACTAAAGTAAAACAAAAATATCATCAACCTCTAAATCAACAAAACTGTAGAAATCAATAAATACTATCCCCGATGAATCTGTAATCGAAAGTCATGCTCTTATATTTTAAACTCCGCACCTACAGTCCATTAGTTTAGCCGTCAATAGCAGATGTTCTGTATTACAACCCTTCTATTTATTCGTTAGGGATGCCAAGGGTAAAACTGATAGATGCAAGAGGCACTACACTAAAGTTTACTGAAATCTTAGTAGGGTATATCGTTTAGTTTGCTTACGGCTCCTTACGATCTAGTGAGATGTAACTAATAAACGAAATTCACGTCACTTTTCCGTGTTAACTACGTAGCTGCCTCATGCTTGTAAACCTAAAATGATTTCCTTTCCTAAAAAGAAATCCGACTACAAGCTGACCAGTCACACTGAAAAACTCGTAAGTAATAGCAATGAAAATAATAAATGAAAAAACACCTTAACTGTCTAACCAAATTTTGTAGAACTATATGATTTTAAGCAACTCATTTCTTTTTAATCTCCTGTAGTCATATAATCATTTGCACATACATTGCTTCTCTAGTTCAGTGTCTTCATTAACCTACGTAAATGCAATTATGCGATGAGTGATCTAAACGCGACAAAGGAAGCTTCAAGTAATCATAATTTAACGTTTCATTCCAACTAAGATTATTCTCCTTTCTACTTCACCCTCCTTGTCTTTGTTTTTCAGAAGAGCTTTGATATACTAACCGAAGCATGTATGTGACATATCACTTCATTCTACGCCTAAGATAATAGTCCTGATGCTCCAGGAAAGTTACAGTTATTTTTACCAGAAGCCTGTTAAATGTTTATTCAGAAGATGCCATCAAGAAGACAAATATGCATTTACGTCACTATTTACAATTTCATGTGAAAAATATCAGCTTTCTGTGGTTTTGATCAGCGTTTCTTGAAAATACCTACCTAACTGAACAACCTATGATATTAAATGTGCAGTCGTATGGAATTAAACTGGCATGACTCTGTGGTTTTTCGGACTCACGAATGTAGATGTTTCAGTCAAAAAGCTATAAACACATCTATAAAACAATTCACTTCAGGTCACACGTGTTGTCCGAAATCTTTTAACGAAAATAAAAAGATGAGATATTCCAGATAGAATAAATGTAGTCGCTGGCGATTTCGTGGTGTCGAAAGAATACTGAAACGTGCCGTAGAACTAAGCGAAGGTGCAGAACAGCAAAAACAAGATGGTAACCTCGTTATTAGTCAGAGCGCGCTACGTAAGTACGAATAAGCAGATATTCGGTGAGAAGTTCAATGGCACAATTGGTCATATTATTGAATTTTGAGATTTAACCAGTTGTGTTTCTCTTCTTAAAAGTGATATTACCACACTTCATGTGACATATTGTTACGCGAGAATGAATTACCACTATTGTTAACAACTAGGGTAGGGTAAAAGAAACCGGAAAGTTTGACGAAGTGTCAAGAATTTTCAATAGATCGAGAAAACCCAAAGACAAGCAGAACCAGAGGTCAGGAATGAGGAGGATCGAAGGCATAGTTGAACGTTGGTTGGAATGTTTAGAAGTGAGTGAACTAAGCTTGCTAGTTGATGTGGAGGGATTCGTTGTACAGAGGAGCCGACGGTGATCTAGCGAGTATGCATGAACAAGTGTCTTCAGCCAATCTGTCCAGTACAGCTAATGAGGTCAGCATCAATGTTGATGACTCGCAGAACTTTTTATTTCGAGTATATTTTAGCGCTACAACACCATATAATCTGGCAGAGACGTTCAGAAGGCAGTTCTGACGGCCTAGACTGACACTTCTCTTTTCATTTAGGAATTCCGAGATTCCATCTATAAACCTTCATCAATAATCTGTGCAATGAGTCTTGCTTCTTTAGGTATCGCCACCAAACAGATGTAAAGTACAATTGGTCTAGTTACGAAAATATGAATTGTCAAAACTCACGCGCTACTAGCCATTGGTCGACAGTAAAACAGCATTACATAAAGGTTTTATTAAACTAAACTATTGGAAAAAACATTGAAAACACATGAGTTTATGTTATTCCATGTTTTCGTAAATGTAAAATGCTCCAAAGGACACGTATACTACTATGTTGGGCTAGTCTACTAACACACCTACTTGAGGCACTCCAAGTACGGAATGAAGGCCACTCAAGGTCTCTGAAACGAAAAGGCGGGGGTTTCGATTGCGAGTTGACCTTCATCGCGTGACCTTTTCTCGCCCATCGCCATCCAACCCTCTTCACATTAGCAACATAGTAAGTTAGAAACGGATCTCCAATCAAAATTGTTGATAAATTGATTCGTTTGATCATTGCTTTCAATTGGGACGTTGCTGTTAGTTTGACGGAGTATTTATGCACTTCTTTAAAGCCATTACAGCCAACCGATTGGGTTGCGCATTACAATTGTGTAGCGGACTAAAAACTCTATGGCCTTTGCTTTTGATTTAGGTTCCACGATTGTCTTGACCTAAGGCATTCGTTGTTGCTGGTTGTTGCCCATTGCAATCCTTATTAAATGGAAGTAGATTGTGTGCCCTCACTAGGTCGTCGGCTCATATTTTTCATCTATTTTTCTCGTTTCAGTCCCTATTTATCCATTATTATCTTTATCTTCCTCCAGAAAGCGAGGTATCTCGCTAGGCGCAAGCTTCTATATTGCATTTTACCGTCCAGATTTTATGCATTTCTAATTACGAGATCTTTCGTTGCAATAGCCAGCCAAGATGCTTTTTCTGAAAAAAATATCTAAAGACTGAGGAAATAATTTAGGCAATTCGCTTAGAATAGCGTCAAAACTACAATCTATAAAGGTGTGAACTTAAAGTGACCTTTAGTACATCTTTCGAGAATGAATCGCCAAACTTTAAATTCGTCATAGTAGGGTTCTCATATGTTTTTACACTTAGTATTTTATGTTCTAATCAAATGATACGGTTCTAAAACTTGATTACAGAAGTGTGATAGCAATGGTAACACGTAAGGTGTTAAGATCATGATGATTATTTGGTTGTGAATATTTAACTTATGTTCATTGCAGATAATCCAACGTGAAAAATGTCTGTTTGATATGTCCAGTTTTTCAAAATGCCGATACATTATAAGTGTCAGATAGCCTTTACACAAACGAACTACCACTTGCTATACCAATATAAAGTACTCCCTGTCCCCTTCCTTCTTTCAATGTCCTGACATTGGGGGGTATTCTCATTAGGTTGTGCCCAAAGTGTTCTAAAGTTGCGCTACCAACTCCAAGTTTCGGCTGTCAATTCGTCTCTACCTTTCGCTTGTGTTCTTTCTGTTTCTTAATGATGGGTTTTGTATTAAGTATAAGTGCATTCTGTGTACTGAATTCGTCAGCTCACTTTTATCGTTGTTTTCTGTTCTACGTATTCTCAAATGGAGCTCCTCACTCTCCGCGCATATGGTATCTTTGGGTTAGACGCGAACGTACCAAAGGTTGGACGTTACGACTGACTTTTGATGTATGACACCGCCCTGTGCCTACTGCCCTCAACAAATCAACAACAAGTTACCTTCCGAAATCTGATTAGTTTGTCCGTATACATCGTCCAAAAGTAATTCTCATACAAATGTTCGTCATTCACGTTAAATCTACCTATCACTAGTTGCTTTTCCATTTTTTCTTTTTGCCATTTACTGTCCCACAACCAAATATTTCTTGTTATGTGTATGGTAGTTCACGGTTGTCCGTATGTGAAAAACAGATCTCCAGACGTAGGCTATTTGACCTCGGTTTTGAAACTTTCTTAGAATGTCCTCTCAAATAATCAGCCCTAGTTGGCAAAGAAGAAACATATTTTTGCCAAAATCATCGTAATTAACGGCAAACCACTATTACACCACCTTCCGAAGCTGACCGAAAAGGAGAAATAAAGGCGAACATCACGGTGACTATTAGAGTTAGATAAAGTTCTCAGATTAAGCTTTTATCAAGGGGGATTGCATTGGATTATTTTTGTGAGCTAACATGAGAGCTGTGATGAAGTAACGCAGTGTTTCCTTACGATAAAGTGAATAAAGTTCACAAGTTTCGCTGTACCGATTTGCACTCTATATGTGATGGATCATCATTTTTGGTAGTCTCTGTTCATGTTGCTGCTTTGAGATTCTGGCAATCCATATGGTTGTGTTTCTGTAAAATTTTAGAACTACTCATTTTTTTGCGAAATGGACTGCTTAATTGTTGATAATATTGGAGTTTCGATCTGACGATCACCACACAGTCATGGCTGACTGGAGGGTTCTGAAACGTATGCAGTAGTTTACGACTTCTGACTAATAATGATGTCTAGATCTATACCGCGGGTGGTACAACTCACCATATATGCATATATGTATATTCTTGTATTGGAGAGAAATAGACATCATACTGGACTTGGATGCATTAGTTGACAACAGTTACGACATTTAAATCTCTTCAGACGTTTCTTTGACTCTTCACTACTACTCTCCTATATCACTTCATATTTCTCCCGACTGTAGCTGCTACCTTGACGTGGTGGTCGGGCTTGCCTATCGAGATGACCCAACTGAGCTATATTGACTGAAACATATGTTCCTGTATGTCCCACCATGTCAGGCAGGTCGATTAGAAGACAGTAAGACTAGAAGCAGCTACTGAAGGTCTGAGGGCGAAGTCTTACTGCTGGTTGTAGAGGGTTGTAACAGCAATAAGGTGTTTCCCTAGGACAACAAGCATCTGCAGCGATGCTGCCTTCCCACAAGGAAGGAAAGGGTTAGGAAGGGTCGACCCCAAAAATGTCACCTCACCTTGCCCCACGGATTTCCGTCTTCGGCGGTAAGGGCTTTTGAACAAGAGCAGAGCTTGTAAATTCAGCCTTTGGTTGGTTTGCGTCTAGCCAGGAGGTACCTTGTGTGCTGCGAGGGTGTGAGGAGCAGCGTATCAGATTATTTCAAAGAAGAAAGAACGAGAGAAAAATATGAGATGACGACTCAGTGAGCACATAGAATGCACTTACATGCGATAGATGAATAAATAGACAGCAACCAGATATAAAGCCAGTGTGAGATTAAGACAAACTGATAAACAAAACTAGGATTTGGTAGAGTAAGGTTTCGAATGCGTTACAGTCTGAACGAGCAAATTACGAAGTCTAGGAACACGTTGGATACCGACCGTCACGAAACTAATGATACCCTGCACACCACAACCTAATACTTTAAAAACTCACAAAAACGCCGTGCGTGACCGGGTTCAAGCAGTTGTCCCTTGGGCTCTGCGGTTACGCTTCCAGGTCTCTAAGACCGACACTAATCTCCTGTTCTCCTCCAAAGTTAGGCACCCTGATATAGTAATAATGGCTGCTGACTTCGATGCTCAAGTAGACTAAGTGTCGCGGCTAATCGAACAGATAATAGTGAACGTCTGCAGCAACTATGCTCAGATAACTGCCTCTTTCTAGCAAACACAGATACTCGTTCAAACGCCACACAGTAGTATTTCTCAACCTTAAAGTGGAAGTTGACTGTCGATCGCGAGGTTCTGTGGCAGTGTCAGTCATTGAAAGGTGTACCAAAGAAGTACATTACCTTATACAAGCTCTACTGGGACACCACTGGTCGGGTGAGAGCCTATGGCGAACTGTCATCGGAATTCTCTACTTCAAGTGGCGGCCGTCAGGGCTGTCCACTCTCTTCATTCTTGTTTAACTTTGTCATAGATATGCTAATAGAGTTAACGTTATCATCGTCTGAATTTTCAGGAGTCGAAAATCGCTTACTGACCTAGAATATGCCGATGACATAGTCCTATTTCGTGAAGACGCCGACAAAATGGTGTCTTCTGACTACCCTTGTAGTGAATGAGAACACAGGTGGGGCAACCGAATTGTATTAAGCGAAATTACAGAGTTACTCAGTAAAATTGGAAAACCATATCGTAAATCGTTAATTTGCAAGATATCAGTTCATCACATCGAACTGGACTGTTCCTGTCGCAAAACATCAATCCAATGTCACTATTCATGCGTTTCAGACAAATTCCATTGTTTTCTAACTCTTCCTTTCTCGATCTTCCCCCATATTATGCTGCCAGACATTACGTTGACACTCACGTCATATACTACTTATAAGTAGCTCACACCACACCTTAAGCAACAATGCGAGCACGTTCGGGATGCGGTTTTCCCCATCGAAATGCGAAATGTTGCTTCAAGATTGGGTTGCATCGGTACCTGAACTAGTGATAGGGTATGAAGTAGTAGAACGTGTAGACCGCTTCACTTATCTGGGCAGTCTCGTCAGTGCTGATGGCCTGGTGACTGACGAAATGTCAGCACGGATACAGAAGGCTCGATTGGCTTTTGCGAACCTGCGTCAATTGTGGCGCAGGCGATATATCGGCTTGCTAACCAAAGGACGAGTGTACTGTGCAGCAGTTCGCTCCGTCCTACTATATGGCTGTGAAACATAGCTGTTAAGAGTAGAGGATATTCGTATGTTACTCGTATTCAACCATAGATGTCGTCGAAGCATTGATCGTGTATCCTGCGACAACCGAGTAAGCAATGCCGTTGTTAGAAAACGAGTACTAGGTAGGGATGGCAAGTCAATAGATGAAGTATTGAAACTTCATCAGTTGAGGTGGTTGGGACATGTGATACGAATTGCTCAACCACCGACTGCCTCGACGAGCTATATTTTGTGGTGTAGAAATAGGATGGAAGAAAGCTAGGGGCTACCAAACCAAAACATGGCAGAAATGCATGAAGTCACTGACAACTGAACTGAGTCATGTTGGTAGATGTAGGCTACCGGGTTGGGGTCCGTGAGACGAAATTAATCGATAGTTAGAGACCCTGAAAGACATGTCAGTCAGTCCAGTCAGTTGTCACGTAGAACTTCGTAACACATTAGCACAGAGACACAAATGTCAAATCAAATCCCATAGTGATAAAGATAATAGAAGTATTAATGCTAATGAAGAAGACTAGGGTTTGAAGATATTATTCAAGAAGTATAATTCAGTGAGATAAGGTTAGAAAGACAAAGGTAGAGGTACTGACGATTCCAGAAGATTAGGATTTGAAAGGCACTTGCGCCATTGCAAACGATTTTCAGCCATATCGTTCAAGGTCTCTAACCATTGGTGACTTTCGTCTCGCGAACCCCAACCAGGTAACTTACATCTACCACTTGTCAGTGACTTCATGCATTTCTGCCATGTTTTGGTCTGGCCGCCCCTAGCTTTCTTTCAACCTACTCCAACACCA